AATTAGCTAGACTATAACGTCCTGGACTAGGGAGGTGGCGTCATGGTAAAATGCTTGCTTACCATGAGGTCCGGAATCTGAATCCCCAGCACTGCTAACAAGCTGGGTGTGGGTGAGGCTGACAAGGTAAAGGCATTTCCTGCCAAGTCTGAAGACCTGAGTTCAATCCCTGGGACCTCTACAGTAGAGAGAGAAATCTGAGTTTTCAAAGTTGTTCTCTAACCTGAATTTAATCTTCAGGGCCCACATAGTGGAAGGAGAGAACTGACACAAGGAGAAAGAGAGAGAGAGAGAGAGAGAGAGAGAGAGAGAGAGAGAGAGTAAATGTTGTGGGATATTTATATACTGTGTGAAAATATATTGCTGTGATTGGTGTAATAAAAAGCTGAACAGCAATAGCCAGGAAGAGTTTAGGCAGGACTTCTGGAGACAGAGAGGACTCTGGGAAGAAGAGTGGGGTGGAGATGCAGAGCAAGCAGGATGTGCAGAGGAGAGGTAATAGCCACTAGACCCATGGTAGAATGTAGATTAATAGAAATGGGTTAATTTAAGTTATAAGAGCTTGTTAGAAACAAGCCTAAGCTATAGGCCGAGCTTTCACAATTAATAAGAAATCTCTGTCATTATTTGAGAGCTGGTGGGGCAGAGAAAGACTTGTTACAAGTAAGTAAATATAATTACAAAAATTCAGGTGTGGTGGTGAGTGTCTGTAACCCTAGTGCTGCGGCTCAGGGACAGGTAGATCTGGGATGTCACGGCCAGCCTGTTTAGCTGCATCTATCAGCATCAAATTTTGTGACAGACCCCGTTTCAAAAGATGATAAGGTGGAAAGCAATAGAGGAAGGCACCCAATGTCAACCTCTTGCCTCCACATGCTTGTGCGCGCACACACACACACACACACACACACACACAATGCTAAATAAACTATAACGCCCCCTCTTTGGGAGTGGTGTTTTTTTTTGCACTTGTAAAAATCCTTATGATATTAGGGAAGGTCATGAATACAATGAGTATCCACAAGACCCTGGCTTCCCACTGATGGGCCTGTCTTTCGCCTGTCACAGAGCTCATGGCTGGGGTAGAGCGAGCGAAGCAGAGGGGCATGCTTTCCCTTCTGATGCTGTGGTCTAGGGAGCAAGGCAAAAAAATAAGACTAGCGAACAGTCACTGGCTGTGTTCCGGTGGGTGGAGGACAGGACGGAGTGGGAGTCATGTTTCCCAAAGGGCCAAGAATTGGCAGACAGTGGGGGCGGCAGGGAGCTTCTGAGGACAAGGACCTGACAGAATTTCCTCCTCGCCTGACTGTGGAGAGGGTGGCCACGCAAGTTGGGGAAGAATGTGTGAGAAGGGTCAGTTTAGATCTCTTATGTCTGAGAGAGCATTTTAATATGGCAAGAGATGACAACTAACCAGTGAGGAAAAAAGTATCTATTCAAAGCCACCTCCCCTTGCTTTTTGGCAGAGGCTGAAGGCAGGTAGGAGAGAGCAGGAGAGCTGCTGAGTGTTTCCAAAAGATGCTTGGTAGGTGTCCTGTTTGGAGGCGATGGCTGGGCATCTGATGTGGTTGGTGACAGGGGCATACCTGGCTGTTTCTCATCAGTTCAAACTTGGAAGCAGGGACAAAAACCTGGGAAAGTTATTAACTCTTGACCATGCCTTACTGGTTTGTGCCAACCGTGACTGTGCCAAAAAGTTACTTTCTCCTGAGTTGTTAGGATCAGAGCCTGGCTGGCCTCGACCACCTGTCCCCGCCAGGCCTGTTGAAGACACAAGTAACAGTGAAACACAGGCAGAGAAAGGTTTGTTCAGTGAGGCTCCACTGGGAAGAGGAACAGACACAGAGGTCCAGGGACCCATCCTAGGCCACCTTTGGGACCCTGACATGAAGTTGAGGTTTAAACAGAGAGCAAGATGTATGTATAACTAAGCAGTTCTGGTCAAGGTGTGATCGCTCCCATCCCAGACCCACCATTCGCCTTGATTGCGGTCTCTCTTAGAAGATGCTCGGAAATGTCAGAACGTCATGAATTTCTTCTAACCTCCCCCTCTTGCTAGCCTCAAGCTTCACCTTTCCTTTCTGCCAGCTTGAGATTCCCAGGGAAATTCCAGTTCATGGGTGCGCATGTGTAGGGGGTTGGGGAGGGGAGCCCATTGTCTCAGGAATCTCATAGCCAAAAAGGAGGGGCCCGAGGATCTCTCTTCAGAATCTGTTTGCTGCTGGCAAGATGCCTTGTTCTCCTGTCAGTCTGGTGTACAGCATGCTGGCTTCACAGGCTGCTGATTGCTTCCCGGACTGGTTAGCGCTACAGGCATGGTCAGCATTCTGGAAGGTCTGGCCTTCATTTGTTTGCATATTCTGTCTGTCATTCCTGATGAGAGAACTGTGTCCAGTTGCAGTCATTAGAACTGCTGATAAAAGCAAGCATTTTCATTAGTGCGGTTTCGATAGGTTCCCCCAAAACTATCCCCAATGATAATATTAATTAATGAAATCACCTGAAACATTACACTGCATTTACAAATTCCTTCAGTATATTCGACCTTTTTCAAGCACTTCCAAGTGCCTGGTTGGGAAGACTTGCAACTCTGGAAGTTCGTGGCAGAAGTGGAAGATCTTCTAGAGAGAGACATCTGTACCTCTCCCTTTGGTTACCATGTTATTGAAGCAATGCCCCCCCCCCCCCCCCCCCCCCCCCAGCAAAGAATTGGAATTTACTCAGAAATCCCTTGCTGGGAAAGGAAAAGGCTAGGCTCTGGTACCAGCCAGAGGGGGGCGTTGTCTTCTGGAAAGAAATTTCCATGATTCTGACAACTTAAAGACTGCAGCCAAGGTGGTGGAGGGCCAGCAATGGGCGGGACCAACCGGGGGTGGGACCAACCAGGGGCGGGACTAACTGGGGGCGGGACCAACCGGGGGCGGGACCAACCGGGGGCGGGACTAACTGGGGGCGGGACCAACCAGGGCCGGGGCGCTTAGCTCTGCATACCTCTTGCCCTCTATTTAAACCTAAACATCATGCCAGAACCCTGAAGATGGCGTGGGAAGATGTCACTGGGCCCATGCATTTGTTCCTCCTCCCAATGTGCCACATTGTATGTGTTTCCATTCTCTGTCTGTCATTATTACCCAGATACTCAATTATGGAGGCCAGGTGGCTGAGTGTAGCAAGCTATGGCTACTAACAATTGTTAGCTATCACTAGCTAACGATTCCAGTATAACAACGTCCTAAATATTTAAGCATTTTTATAAATATAATAAAACAGGATTTTTAAATGCCACAAATAATATATATGTGTGTAATTTTTAGTTACTTATGTATTTGCTTTGAGGCAGGCTCTTTTTATGTAGTCTAGACTGACTTCAAACTCATGATCCTCCTTCCTCACCTTTCTTGGTTCTGGGATTACAGGTGGATGTGCCTGGCAACCATATTATTTTTAAGCATTCCCACACATTTTAATTAACTTGATCAAATTTTAGTATACTTTTAAAAAGTTGAAGAAAATCCTAAGTCTGCAACAAATCACAGACTCCTGCTGACTCCCGCATTTTAGTTTAATTTACTCATATTTAGAATTTTTCTCTTTTAACTGAGATATAAAAGCATGAAGTTGTCTATATCAATCGGGTACAACATAATGTTTTGATGTACGTGCACATTATATAATACTTAAATCAGGCTATCCTGGTCTTCAGTTAGAGGTTTGGTCCAGTTTGGTCAAGCACTGTAGGTAGGCTCTTGTCCAGCTCTGGGCAGATCCACTGTGGATGGACTAGACCCAGTACCTTCTTACACCTGTGGCCAGCAAGAGCTTAAGGCCCATCAGCTAGGTGTTGTTGCTAAAGTGGACTCATGGCCCAGCACTAGCCACAAGAGATGCTGGCTGACCTAGAAGGTCCTCCCCTTCATAATGGAGCTGTTTCCAAGGAAAGGCTCTCTCTTTAGCTGGGGACCATTAGGATCTTTGGTGTAGCTTCCCGAGCCCATCCCAAATTTCAGAGCAAAGTCACATGCTTGCTACCCTGCCCTACCTACCAATGGAGTCTCGTACCCGGCTGTGCTGCTTGGGATTAGAATAGTGTACATAAAGCTAGACCCTTGGCCACTGGGCCACTGCTGACTTGGGTTGTGCTTGAGTCTTAAGGTAATGAGACCAGCATAGTCTCAGATGTGCACTGAGACGTGAGTCACAGCTAGTGATGACACAGGCCCAAACACCCCTAGCTGTGTGTCTCTCCCTGCAGCCAGGGCAGTTTTAGAGGCCTGTGTGTGAGCACTGGCCTGATGAGGTGGTGCTGCCCAGGTTAGGAGACAGTGGGTAGGGACAGTCACATAGCCAGGGCTGGTCCTAAGCTGGGTCATGCCTGATTATTGAAGTCATGGGGGCTTGCAGAGTCTCAGGAAGATGGCATGTGTGAACTGGACCCACTCTGTGGATGGAAAATATATGGCCAGGAGACAGGACAGCTAGTTGGGATCTAGAGGGGATATGAGAAAATAATGGGTGCCTGTACTCTGAGGGTTCTGGTTTAAGCTTCTCTCTGACTGACGACACCTGGGATTTCTACTACCTGACCAGATCTCCTGTAGAACTATACTTACCCCTCTGTCTAACCAATATCACAGATTAGATTTTAAAAATGGCTGAAGAACCATGTCCTGAGTCTATCCTGATTGTGACCTGTGAATAAATAAGGATTCCTGTGAGCCATGTCCCATCTCTAGTCCTGCCAGTCCTTCTTGTAAGCCTACACAATGACCTGAAAGCTTTCTCTTCAAGAATAAAAAATTTTGACTAAGAAAAAATAGCATGCCAGCACTTCCATTAAACAGTTTCAGAATCCGCTTCTGACATAAATAGCCAGTGCAGAGACACCTAGCTCCAGTCTTCTTCTTGCCTGCTTTCACTCTCTCTTTGAATGTGACCGCCCTCCCCCTTAATCAATGAGCTCACTAGCTTTACTTCATTTTACTTGTCTTCTTTCCTGCCAGGCACTCAAGGTACACTTGAGTAGATGCCCCTGATGGACTCCTCAAGCTGCACAGCTACAATGTGGAGTTGCATTCCCCACTTCCAGAGCAGTGAGAAACTCATGCTCCCAGTGCTCAGGTCCCTGCCCAATGCGGAGCTGGCCTCGAGGCTCTTACCCAAGCCATGTGAGTGGTTGGGGAATATGTGGAAGGGAAATGAAGGGGTCATAGGTGTTGTCTAAGCTTTTGGCTTGGACCATTGAGGGGGTATGCAAAATCTATACTTTGTGTGTGAATGTAAAATCGAAAATTGTGTGTAAAGTTCACTGACGAGTCTTAAAGCATCCATTTCTTATGTATATGACTAAAATCAGCTGAATGTGGCGATTAGTACACAGAGATGGTATCAGGATATAGATGGAGAACCCAGGGCTAGGAGATGACAAGCATTTCCCAGCTCTGCTGCTGCCTGAGTTGCCCCTGAGACAGATGTGGGCTCCTCCCTGCCCCCCTCCCCTGCTTACACAGGGAAAAGCAAAGTATGCCACAAGTCTGAGTTCTATGAGCTCTAAACTGCAAAAATGGCTCAGATGAGAGAGATCATGTAATCAAACTCCTTGAGAGTTTTATGAACACCTAGGACCTTCGTAGGAAAATTCAGGAAAAATTTACATACACATTGGTGGACTAGATCCTTCTTTCTTCCACCCCCAGCAGCTCATGGAATTAGGTGACTTCCAAAGCTCTTTCGTGGTCTTAAACTCTGATTTTATGGTTCTCCAAACAAAGATGTACCCTCTGCGGTGCTTTCAATCACCTTATCTCTTCCAGAGAAACATGGATAAAATGCTGCTGCCTTTTTTAGCAGCTCTGTTCTTCCCCCCACCCCTTTGAATTACTCCACTGTCTATTTAAAGTGGTGTCCCTTCAGGCAAAGGCTATCTGTCTTTGTGAGTATTTGTTCCAGCAACTAGAATGCAGTTGGATGCTTAACAATGCCTAATTATGATAATAGGGATCATGGTATAATGCCATCTGTAAACCTCGATAAGCTTACAATAGCATCATGATATTCTAAAACCTGTACAAAATTGTAGGTTGGCAGCATTTAAGGGAATGTATGAGGGACTTTGTGCTTATGTCTTGTAATACAGGGTTAATTAAGCATCTCCAGGAGTTCATCTCTAAGACTCCGTGTCTTTTAGTATATAGATGGAGATAGATATATGTTCAAAGATTATTTGAAGTTGTCAGAATTAATCACTAGACCTACTGAGAATTGTAACTCAACAGTCAAGGTCGACTTTCTATATATCACCCAGAGTGTGATAGTTTTCGTTTGGGAAGTGATGCTTTCTAGCTGGTTGAAACATGCCAAACACTTAACTGCTTTCTTAAGCAGATTATCTGGAACACAACCTCCCCTTATGAGTATTGATTATTATATTTGTAACTGTGATCTGATGCTGAGAGAAAATGGGCTGGAGCCCTGGCGGGGCAGAGGAGATGTTCTGAATTCTTAAAGAGAGACACTTGTGCCCTGTTGGAGCAGAAGAGATGTTCTGAATTCTAAAGAGAGACACTGGTGCCCGTCTGTGCTGAGAACCAAGGCAGCTTGGTCGGCACAGAGACAGTGGGGGCAGCCTGAGGACCAGTCTCCTTTCTTGCAGGAAAGGGTTACTGAATTGTTTCAGACAAACCTACCTGCCTTCAGGCCCTGGTTTCACTGTTTTCTAAAATTATAAAACTGCTGCGTACATGGTGGGGAAGAAGTGGATTGGTTTTATTTTTCTCGTCTGTTCTGGCCAAGTTGTAAATAAACTCATTTTCCTTTATCAAGTTCTGTTTCCTGATTTCTTTCAGGATACAGGGAAATGAAAGTGATAGGTTGTAGTTCTGGATGACCAACAATATGTTGAGCTATGTGATGGGCTTTAATAATCTTTAGGCCTAGGCAATTTTTTTTGGGGTGTGTGTGTGTGTGTGTGTGTGTGTGTGTGTGTGTGTGTGCACATAGTATATATGCAAATATGTGCCCATGTCCTTTCAGGATAGAGAGGAGTATGCCTGGTGTCTTTTCTGCCTTGAGACAGGGTCTTTCATGAAGCTAGAGTCCTAGCAATCCTCTGGTCTCCACTTCATAACACTGGGGTTGCAGGCATTTGTGGCCATGTCTAGCCTTTTATGTGTGTGCTGGGGATTTGAACTCAGGTCTTCATGTCTACATGGCGAGCCCTCCTACCCACTGAGCCATCTACCGAGTCCAGCCCATGCAATCCCATTGTCTATTCAAGTATGTGCATGATTGTTTGCTTCAACACTAACTGGCTTCGGATTTTGATTTGTTAGGGAAATCCAAGCACATAGTTCAAAGAGATAAGTACTTCTTTTTGTTTGTTTGTTAAGACAGAGTCTCACATAGCCCAGGCTAGCCTCAAACTTGCCATGTAGCTAAGGACGATATTGAATTTCTGATCCTCCTGCCTCCACCTCCCAAGGGCTAGGTTTATAGGCGTGCAGAGATAAACAATTCTTTAAGGACTGTTAAGAATCCCGTTGTCCCCATCTGCCTTGCTTCTGTGTCCTCTTCCCTACAGGGAGCTGCTTTCATATGGCTGATTAGAAATTGTCCTTCCATATCTATAAATAACACGGTGGTGCTCTTACCTCTTGATTCTTCTCTGGTTGGCTACATCTATTGGCTTCTCACCAGGGAAGATGGGATTTCATTCCTGCCTTTCCTCTCTCTGCTACACATGCTCACTTCCTATCCTTCAAAGATAATTTATCATAATCTTAGCTAAATCAACAGTCAATGTTTACATTATTATGACTTTATATGCTATTCAGAATTCAGTCATGTAGAAAACTATAATTACTTTCCTTTTCCTGAACAAATTTTTGTTTTTATCCCCAAGTTAATAATCATTTTTTTTGTTCTAAAATTTGCTTTACTTTTCTGTGTGTTATTTCTGAATCAACCCATTGTCTAAATCAATGCTTCTAAAACTATCTGGGATGAATGATTGGTTCTTTTTAAAAAATTCTAATCTGTGGCAGACAGATACTTTGCTAAAATACAGTGAAAACACATTTCTAGAACAAGCCGTTCATGGACAGCACCTGTTGGCCAGCCACATTCTGTAGAATTCAGTTCAAGTTGCCTCTAATGAGTCTAACCATCCCATGTTCTATTGGCTGTCTTTTAAAGGAAACTTCTTGGAAGCCTTTTGACACACCAGTGTGGGCTGGTGGCTTCTCTTTCTTTTTCACTTCCCAGCCACAAGTTGAGTGGTCTTGGTCTCTGCTTGGTGCCTCCGCCATGATGGTCTGACATGGGTCTAAAGAACAGTACCAACTGATCATGGACTGAAGCCCCCAAAACCATGAGTCATCCTCCCCCCTTTTATCTTTGTGTACTGATTATCTCAGGTATTTGTTACAGTGACTGAAAATACACAGAGACAATTCTCCCTCCTCCATTTTCTTTCTAGAAGTAGAAGTTTAGACACTGACTGCCTAGCTTGCCTCTCACATGGAGGTTTTGCACATAAACGAATTTGATTCTGGGCCCTCCATTCCCTAATACTGACTCTGAAATCAGCATCCTCTAGGCTGCTAATCTACCCAGTAGAATTGTGTGTTCTCCACCCCAAAGGATTGGCACGTTTTTATTGTAAGCGTTGGGGGATTTCGCAAGAGATTAAAATTAAACTTGTGTTTCTTTCGCCATCTCTATAATGCCTTGATCTGCTTTCTCTTCTCAGGTTGTCAACTATCCCATCCTTCCAACCAAGTAGCATGGGAGCTGAGGATATAGCTGCAGGAGTCCAGAAGCTCACAGGTATCTCCTAATAGCTATGTGGCCTGGGCCCATCATGTCATCTTTCCAAAGTCCAGATTTTTCATCCATCTGATGGGGACAATGATCATACCAGCTCCATATGAGAGTGTAAACACTGTAGGAAGTGCATGCCTTCATAAATGGAGGCTGTTACAGCCAGCACTACTAGAAGTTTCACAGTCTCTTTTTCTTCTCTGTCACAGAAAGTCTGTGAACCATAAAATTACACCGACATACAAGTTAGACTGAAGTAAGTTCTCTGTGTGTGAGTGTGAGTGTGTGTGTGTGTGTGTGTGTGTGTGTGTGTGTGTGTGTGTGTGTGTGTGTGTGCTTTCCTAAGGTGAAATAGATGAATTGTTTCATGCGTTTTGTGGCATCTCTTTTGACCACCCCAGTTGAGATACTGAGTTCACACATTCTTTCTGGAGCAGCCAGAACGCAAATCTTATCATGAAATTCCTAGAACTTTCATGATGACAGAGTTCAAGAACAATGTCCAGTTGTTGTCTTTTGCCTCTAGCCTCGTGTTCCTGTTGCTGACGCTTGTGGTTCCAAGCTCTTCTTTACTTCCTACTCTTCTGAGTTCTCCTCTGCCAGTTCTGCAGAGCCCAGAGCCAAGGCTGTGACCCTCCTCCAAAAGTCAGCCCAGTCTTCACCAGTTTTGGCGAAAAGCTTTTCTTGATGTTCCTTGACCCCTATCCCTTTCTCTCAGTCTCCACACTAGCTTAGCATGTCTGCTGGGCTTCACCAGCTGTGGCCTTTGTGACTCTTAACTGTAGCTGCTGTGTGTGGATAGGTTCTTGTCTTAATCTTAAACCACAAACCGGTGCCTGGTATATCTTCAGTATATATAACTTGAAATGAGTTTTATTAGTTAGTAAATGTATGAATGAAGAGATTTCAGATAATATTTTTGTGTGTAGATAAAGAATACTATTATTGAATAGAGGAACTCAAATATGTCATCTCCCCTGCCCAGCTGTTTTTCTTCCTTTTTTCCTTTCTTATTTCCTTTTCCCTCCATCCCTCTCTCCTTCCCTTCCCCCATCTCTTTTTTTAAATGTATGTTTATGGAAAGACTTTCCTTTCTTGTAGCTTCTGAAACACTATACTGTTTACATGGTATTTACGTCATATCAGGTATTTTAGGTAGTCTAGACATAATTTAAATGGGAAGATTTAAACATAAGTAAGTGGCACATCCTTTTTAATGAGGCACTTGGGCACCCAGGAACTTTGGTACCTGCCTGAGGAGGGGCTGTGGGAACCTAGCTGACCTCTCTTCAGGGACTCTGACCCTGACACATGGTGTCAGGTCTCAGCTGCTCTCCACAGCTTCCTCAGTCTTGTATCCCTCCTGTCTTCAAAAACAGTACCACCTGGGAGACTTAACACATTGCAGAGCTAGGCTGGCAGCTTGAGATGCAGCCTTGGCTCCCTTGGACCACAGTGCCTGTGTGCTGAGTCTGAAGAAATAGTCTTCGGAAGATTAGCCTCAGTGATGCATGTATCTCAACCAATCACAGCCGATTTTCCAGCCACAGCTAACCACTGTCCACTGTCTGTTGGTCTAGCAAAGCAAAGGTTTCACTCCTACAGATTTTTAATTTAGATACAGCACACAAAGGCCCCCATAGAGTCTTGGGCAACTGTTAAACTTTCCCTAAGACTCCATGGACCAGAATTCCGTTTTCTGCTTTTCTCTCAGCACTCCCATCCTCTAAGCTTGAACAGAAAAGCCCATGAAACTCTAAGTACTCGATGATTTTTCCAGTTCACAGTTCTAAGTGCTTCCTTCTGCAAGTGTCTCTCCAAAAACATGGTCAGGTACATTCCAGCAACAACCCCATTTTTAGTACCGATTTCTGTCCAAGGTGCTTTTGGTTGTGGTGTTTGTCATAGGAAGCCAACTAAAGCAAGTTTTTTTTTTTTTTTTAAATCACCATACCAGGTAAAGAGACACAAGCATTTGTCCAGGCAGGTCCTGTCTCCACCTTCCAAGTAGCTGGGGTTACAGCTCAGGCCTGCTGCCAGGCCCACCTAACTCTGTAGTATTTTTCTTCTCTACATTATTTACTTAGCCATTATTCTGAGAACTTTGACTGAGGTTCCAGAAATGGCCCCTCCCATTTTTCTTGTCTCCCTGTCTGTGTACCAACTGGCCAATGGCCCTAGCATGGGCCTGATCCCCCTCCTTTAATACCATCCAACCAGACAGTTTTGTCTCTTCCCCAGTCACCCTAGCAGTAACATTTCAGTCACATTTGTGGGTGCTCATCGCCCTTCCTAAAATATAAGCTCAGTTTCTAGTCAAATTAAGGCAGGGCAAGCTTTACATGTCTAATGAAGGAGCAGCTCACATGATTAAGAACAAAGGCCCGTGGTCACTGCAGCCTGCACTTCAGACATGCAGCAGGAGGCCTCCCATCCATCCACCAACAGACCCTGTCAATTCCTACTTTCCTCCCAGGTGCTCCTGATGGAATCTGGATTAATATCACGAGGATGCCGACGAACCAGCTCATTATCATCTTAGGAAAATTTCAGGGCTGAATCAAACACCAGACTTGATGTTCAAGATGTACTACCAACAGACATTTATTTAATGAACTAGTCTCTGCTCGCAGATGGAGGTTGGAATTGTATTCGCATGCTCTAAATGTCAAGTGTGCATCTTTAGACTTAGTGGAAAGAGGAAAAGACAAAACATGACGCACTGAACCTTGTTATGGGATCCCAAACAGAGGGATCCAGCCTCCATCAGCAGCCGCCGCCATCCTTTCCGGGGCCTTATTGTTGGGGGAGATGGAGACTCCGAGTGTATCCAAGTGTCTGATTAGTGCCATTGTTCCAAATAAGTAGTGACAAACCCTTGAGATTTCAGGTGAGAACTGGGCTCTTTGAAAGTGTTTTTTTTTTTCCTCAGCTGGGCGTGGTGGCACACACTTTTAACCCCAGCACTCAGGAGGCAGAGGCAGGCAGATCTCTTGAGTTTGAGGCCAGCCTGATCTACAGAGTGAGTTCCGAGACAGCCAAGGCTACACAGAGAAACCCTGTCTTGAAAAACAAAAGAAAACAACAGCAACAAAGCAAAGTGTTTGTTCTTTCTGGCTGTAGTTATTCGTGGGTGGTACTCTATTTCAGAGCCTCGACATCCGTCTTCTCTCTCGGTAGGTCTTTCTTTGTCCCTTACTGAAAGAGAGACCATCTGTGGCGATCTTTCAGGAAGGTGGAAGGAAACTGACAAAGCAGAATGCGACCTAGACACTGACCTTGACGGTACAAGTGATGGCGCCAAGTGCCCTGACAGTCATTAGCCGGAATAAAAAGCCATTATATGCAGATGAGCCCAAAGCAGAATTGAGGAGGCGAGCTGGTCATTTTATCAAGCTATGTTTCCTGAAGTGTCCTCTGGGTGCAAGTTATCACAGCTCTGGAACACCAGCTGACCATCTCTTCAAGGGCAACAGACCCTGAGTAGAGAGCAACCCTGGTCTTTGGTAAAGGCTGAGAGAGATGAGGAGAGAGAAAAGAAACCTCGGTCACACAGAGTCTGTGTATGTTTCTCCAGGCTGTTGTAGTTTCATGAACTCCAACCAGTGTGGATCCATGGATAATATTAACAAAAAATCTTCATGGTAAAGGGTGTTCATCCTCATCTACAGGGATGAAGCAGGTCTCTGTCATCCATGTGAATTGGATTTAGTTGTTTAGCGCTCTGAACCCCGTGCAGTCAGGTGGCTTTATTGAAGACTCAGGTTGATGACTCATGCATGGCCTTGTGGCCACAGGGAAAGCTTACCATGGCAGGTAAGCATGCGCCTTCTCAACACCCTGGGCAGAAACCAGAAAGCTGTGCATCTTGCTGTCCGTGAAGTAGCCCAAATCCCCAGACATCCCTGATATGGCTTTGGTTTTCATTGTCGCCTGTGAACTGGACTTAAAGAGTTGTTCTGTTTTATGTGTCTGCAGTCCAAGTTTCTCCGTTCTCTGTCTTGTGAGAACGCAGAAAATTCCCATTTGTCCATAGCCTGTTCTGGGCAGGCATGTGAGCGTTTGAACACAAATCTTCAGGGACTCAGCACAGACTTTGTTGTTGCCATTTCATCGACAGAGAGAGGATTTGCCCATGGTGTGAATGATGTAGTCTGACTCTAAATGGAATCAAAACTCTCTCTCTCTCTCTTTCTCTCTCTCTCTCTCTCTCTCTCTCTCTCTCTCTCTCTCTCTCTCTCTCTCTCTCTGTGTGTGTGTGTTTAATATGCACATTGGGATCATAAGCAGGTGTGATGATCATTAACTTGATGGGACTTAGGACAGATGAAACAAATCTCAAGGTAAGCTTGTAAGGTTCGATTAAGATAGCAATACTCAAATACTCATCCTAAATGTGGGTAGTAAAATGCCATGGGCTGGGGTCTTGGACTAAACAAGAAGCAAGAGTTGAGCATCAGCATTAATCTCTCTCGGCTTCCTGACTAGGATGACACACTGTCACCAGCTGCCCCCTGTTCCTGATGCCAGGCTTTCTCTGCCATGATGGACTCTATGCCCTCAATCTGTGAGGCAACGTAAGTCTGTCTTTCCATAAGTCCCTTTGTCCAGTATTTTGTCACAGCTGTGGGGAAAGTGACAACACCTTGGGTGTGAGGAACCTAACTGTAACCACTATACTATAACCCCCATACTGTAACCCCCATACTTGGGAGGCTGGCCAAGGGTGATGGTGAGTTTGTGGCCGGCCTCCGACATAGTAAGGTCTCATCACAAACACAGAGAAATCAGTTTATATATGGAGTAAATCTGGGTTCCTGAAGTATTCAACACAGAAGAATCCTATGACATGCAATTTTGTTTCTAGGCATATATCATAAAGGATTCCAAAGACCCAAAGAGTTACTGGTATACCAGGGTTCGCTGCAGCATTAGTCATGGTGCCCAGAGCTGAAAATAATCCAAGAGTTTATCAACTGACTAGATGAACTAAGTGTAGATAAACA